TGATATAATTCTATATTTATAGTATTTATATTTGTATTAAACGATTTATCAATTTGAAAATAACCTTAATTAAGTTAATATTCGTTGTTTAAGTTTCATTAGATAGGCTTTTATATATGGTTTTTTGTAAGTTTGAGTTTTGTTCATAAATGATGTGGCATTTTTATCTACGGCGTCATCAACTGTGGGAATCCATTCGTCGGAGTCTGGAATCGGTGGTGAGGAATGTTTTCAAGGAAATTATAGTAGTTATTAAAATGTAAGAGAAATTATATATTCATTTAATAATAACAAAAATAATTAATTTTTGTTGTTTTATTTTATTTTATCTCACATACAAATTTTTTGAAAATATATATTAGGAAATATGTGCAATGATTTAACTTTTTGAGCTCCTAATCTATATTATTCAACCTTCATTAAGCCATCCGCGTATGCACCTGCGTGGAATTCACTTTTTGTGTTTTTTTTGTCTGTGTGTTTTTGGATTTATTTTTTATTATTTTTGGGTTGAGCTATATTATAATAGGATAGTTTTAAGGTTCTTTAAGCCATCCGCGTAGGCAACCACGTGAGACTTGTTTTTTTTGTTTTTTGTTTTATTATTTGTTTTGGATTCATTTTTAACTATTTTGGCTTTGAACTTATTAAGGTTTAGGGTTTATACAACTATTTTGATCTTTAAAACAATAAGCCCAAAAAAAAAACATAAGAACGTTATAAACAAAAAGCCCATATGATAATAACCTAAATAAAAAAATCAAAAATACATGATAGCTGCGTGGTTTGAACCCACAATCTTGCATACTTAATTAGACACCTTATACCACTTGGCTAAAATTTATTTCATTGTTTGTGACCATCTTACCAAGACTATGTGTGTTTAAAAAATATTTTTATGATGATGACATTAATTGGTTTATGCATGAGAGCAGTGGGAATTGAACCCATGTCCTTGGACACCAAACATGGGGTCTTAGACCACTTGGCTAAACTGATATTCTTTGTTTGTAGCCATTTTAAAAAAAAGTATCTATTTTAATATAAAAATGTGGGACCCACAATCTGCCTATGTGGACACCTTAAGGAGTCTTTAAACTGAATCATTATAATATAGATTTCAGCAATATATTTTACCTAAAAATTAGAGCTAGAATTACATTATATAAGAAAAAAGAAAGTTGAAATCCAGAGAGGTTGTTCGAACTCAAAAAGAGACAAAAAAAAACATTCTTAACCACTAAACTAAGAATGATTTCTGGTTTTAAGAGCCCCTAAAATAGTTATATTTGTTGTGACAGATGTGAGAAAATACAGATTACAGGGTAAATGAACAGAAAAGAAAGACACAGAGGTTTAACGTGGTTTGATCCACGGACAAAAGAAGTACTTTATTAGTGGATGCTAGTTTTTCAGAGTACAACTCGTGTTACAGAATAGGGTAAAACCCTAAATATATATATGAAAACGTTTAATGAAACTTTCCATATTTTCTCGGATTTGACAATATCGATCGATACACAAGCTCTTGTATCGATCGATACGTGTCCAGTCAGATCGACCGATCCATGACACCTAGATCGACCGATGCAGATTCAAGGCATATTTCAACAAATCTCCACCTTGACTTGAATCCTCCATAATCAGATGTACCAGGATGCTCTTCTTCGTGCTCAGATGTACTAGACTCTCTCTTTGCCTCAGATGTTCCGTCGAACTCAGATGTCAGATGTCCCGTCGGACCAGACGCTCCTCAGAGCCAGATGTCCCTTAGGGCCAGATGCCCATCTGGGCCAGATTAACAGCTTGAGATGTTCAGCAAATCAAGACAATGCTTGAACTTGCTGTGAGGAACCGGCTTGTTGAACATATCTGCAGGATTATCAGCTGTTCCTACCTTCTTCACTTCAATCCTCTTCTCATCTCTCATAAAATGGTATCTTACATCAATATGTTTGGTTCTCTCATGATGAACCTGATCCTTGGCTAAACAGATAGCACTCAAACTATCACCGAACAAAGTAGCCTGATCATGTTGAAGACCAAGATCACTGACCAATCCTCTCAACCATATTGCCTCCTTAGCATCTTCTGTCAATGCCATATACTTTGCCTCAGTTGTAGACAAAGTCACTGTCGATTGCAAAGTCGCCTTCCAGCTCACAACAGAACCACCCAAAGTAAATACGTAACCAGTCATAGATCTCATGCTATCCACATCTCCTGCATAATACCAATCAGAATAGCTTGTAACCAGTCTTGGATCCTTGTCTCCATAGACAAGACCAACATCAGATGTACCCTTAAGGTACCAGAAAATCTCGAACTCAGAATTCAGCAGCTCTTTCAGCTTCTGAACATCATACATCTTCTTGGAAGCCATCAGCTTGTCATCTACATACAACACTAGGTAGATACACAAAACATTTTCCACCTTGCTTATGTAAAAACAACAGTCATAAGAACTCATGTCGTAGCCCAACTTGACCATATAGCTGTCACACCTCTTGTACCACTTGGGAGTTACAACCTTTCTCCTAGGTGATAGTGTGACCAAAACCCATGTATGATTCTTCTCATGAGAATCTATCTCATCTTCCATTGCAACAGACCATTTCTCAGACTTAGAACTAGAAACATCTTCTCTGTAAGTGGATGACTCGTAAGTATCCACTTCCTATGCAACCTGCAGTGCATAACCCACCATATCATCAAAGTGATATCTCTATGGTGGCCTGACATCAACTCTCCTTGGTTTATCTCTAGCATTACTTCATTTTTCAAACTCAACACGTTGATTTTCAGAACTAAGAACTCGTCTAACGTCGATCGTTCGATCCCTTCTTCCGATATTGATCGATACTGACCTTACGACATCGATCGATACTAACCATCCGATGTCGATCGACACTGAACATCTGACGTCGATCGACACTGTTGATCCGTCATCGATCGACACTGTTGACTTGTCATCGATCGACACGGTTCATTCGACTGCACTTCCTGTAGCTCCACCTGTTTGTCAAAATCCCCATTCCTCTTCTCCAAACCTTCATTAGAAAACATGCACCTCGTTTTCTCTAGCAAATTTTGGTTCATTATATCTGCTACACCATTTTTCTGTGGTGTATCTCTGATTGTAAGATGCTCAGTAGCTGTTGCATCCTTACAAAACTGATTGAACTCTGATGAACAAAGTTCCAGACCATTTGCTGAAACTGTAGAACCTTCCAGCAAATACAGAGTACCATGAATGAAACCTCTCAGAATTACATCTAAACCCTTGTAGACACTCAGAACTCCATCTCCACCTGAATACTTGAAACCTTTGCTATCCAAAAGACTAACTGAGATCAATTTCTTGGACATAGCTGGAACATGTCTAACTCCGGTCAATGTACATATTCTACCACCATGTGCCCTGAGCTTCATCGAACCGATTCCTACAACATCGCAAACGAAGTCATTCGCCATCTTGATCTTGCTATCAGTCACTGCCTCATACTCTGAGAACCATTCCCTCCTTGGACACATATGATATGACGCCCCTGTGTCTAGAACCCACACATCCCTAGAATGTGTTTTTCTATGAGCAACTAGAGCAACATCGTCATTAGACTTAGCTTCATTCTCTGCTACAGCAGCGGAATCAACTTGCTTCTTCTTCTTAGGACAATCAAACTTCCAATGTCCTCTTTCATTGCAATAATGGCAAATATCAGTTGGCTTAGGACCCTATGTAAACGACCTTTTGTCTTTCCCAATGTTCTTTCCACCACCTACAAACAACCCAGAAGCTTGGTCATTTGTACCAGAACCTGATGCCTTGTGACGCAACTCCCTGCTATGAAGTGCCGACCTAACTTCCTCCAAACTCACTGTATCCTTACTCCCTATGAATGACTGAACAAAGTTCTCATATGAGTTAGGAAGTGAAACCAATAAAATCAGTGCCGCATCCTCATCCTCCACCTTAACGTCAATATTCCTCAGATCCAACATAATGGAATTTAGACTATCAAGGTGATCCTGAAGTTGTGTACCTTCCTGCATCCTCAGAGNTCTCATATGAGTTAGGAAGTGAAACCAATAAAATCAGTGCCGCATCCTCATCCTCCACCTTAACGTCAATATTCCTCAGATCCAACATAATGGAATTTAGACTATCAAGGTGATCCTGAAGTTGTGTACCTTCCTGCATCCTCAGAGCGAAAAGACGTTGTTTCAGAAGTAGCTTCTTAGTCAGAGACTTCGTCATGTACAGACTCTCCAACTTCAACCACAAATCAGCTGCAGTATCAACACCAGAAACCTCGATGATGATCTCATCTGCCAGACACAACAAGATTGTTGAATACACCTTCTCTTCTCTTCAGTAACCTCCATCTCAGCAGTAGCAGCTTCAACCTTCTTCCCTGACAACGGTGCCCAAAGACCTTGTTGCTTCAGCAACGCCTTCATCTTAATTTGCCAGAGACTGAAACTGTTCCTTCCAGAAAACTTATCGATCTTTATGTTCATCCCAGACATCTTCTCACCAGATTCAACCCAAAGCTCTGATACCAGTTTGTTGTGACAGATGTGAGAAGATACAGATTAACAAGGGTAGATGAATAGAAAAGAAAGACACAGAGGTTTAACGTGGTTTAATCCACTGGCAAAAGGAGTACTTTATTAGTGGAGGCCAGTTTTTCAGAGTACAACTCGTGTTACAGAATAGGGTAAAATTCTAAATATATATATGAAAACGTTTAATGAAACTTTCCATATTTTCTCGGATTTGACAATATCGATTGATACACAAGCTCTTGTATCGATCGATACGTGTCCAGTCAGATCGACCGATCCATGACACTTAGATCGACGGATGCAGATTCAAGACATATTTCAACAATATTCATTGGAGGCCTGAGGCAAATGCCTTTTTGGATGCACTATTGGCACGGCTCTGATGAGAATTAATACAAATTATCATTGTTTGGATTATCGATCTACATAATATAAGTATGAGCGACATGATTTCGTGTACTGTATTTTCTTCTAACTTTTTGCTAGCTACTATGTGTATGGTTTAAAACTTCAATCTCAGTTTGATTCATTGAAGCCATTGGAGCAATACGAATCATAGCAAAAGGTAGAAGAAAGGAAGCTTAATGGTTTGTTTTAACAATATGAATGGTGTATAAAAAAGTAACACATACGACGTGACACCTGGATTAATCTATTGATTAGGTAAGATTATTTAATGTTAATTAGTAAAGACTAGCAAATGTTAATGACTTCTTCTTTGCACAAGTGACATAAAATTAATCTTTACTTGAGGCTTGAGCCTAAAGATAATATGATAATATAGCGGTGAACATTGTAGTATTACTATTATTAGAAATCATTGAGCCAAATATTTACGCTAAATTAGTAGTGAAAAAGAGAGAGATAAATTTTGGCCAAAAAATGAGAGAGTTAAATATATTTTTTCTTCTAAATACGACTATGCGCGTACACAAATGATAAATAGAAATATGAATATCTCTACATATATAACGCCAACGTAAGTAAACACGTATAGATCACCACAAAGGCAGCTAGGCAAGTATACTCCTAGTGTGGCATATTCCAAATGATATGCCATCGAATTTAATATGTTTTCATAAAATTAAACTATTTCTTGCCATTTTCTGATTTAAAAAGATTAATTTCAATATGAACTTTACACATTTCTTTGTCTTATCTTCTTCTTTGATTTGAATATTCATTTTCTTTGCTTTTTCACCACGCATATTCTCCCTCTCCCGCACACAGTCAGACACACACACTTCACGATATATATAATATCATAAACCTAGCTTTTTGCCTTCTTCGAGTTTTTTACCGGTGACTCCTTGAATATTGTTTTGTCGTTGCTCGCTCACTGAAGAGAAAGAAAACAATATATCACTTCCATTACTGTTCCAATATAAATAAAAAGTGTTTATTTCTTCTGGCGAATTCTAATTTAAGCTTGGATATCCCCTGCAACTGAGGGTTTCGAGTTTTTTACCGGTGACTCCTTGAATATTGTTTTGTCGTTGCTCGCTCACTGAAGAGAAAGAAAACAATATATCACTTCCATTACTGTTCCAATATAAATAAAAAGTGTTTATTTCTTCTGGCGAATTCTAATTTAAGCTTGGATATCCCCTGCAACTGAGGGTTGATACCTTTCAAAGTTGTGATTATATATTGTTATGTTCTTTTTAAATCTCTCTTTTTCGGTATTTTATATCCATTCCCTCGTCATCTCTTTTTGTATTGTTTCGTTTATAGTTTCTTATTTACAGATGAAGTAGAAGAGAAGAAGAAAGAGAAGAGAGAATAGAGCTTTAAAAATCCTATTTTCTAGGGTTTGTCTTCCCTGTAAGTTTTCTTGATTTCTTCTCTTTGACTTTTGACCATATTTTCTTCAGGTAGTAGTAGTAGTACTATATAGTTATACCATAAGGATATTACACATATTCACTCTTTGTTCAATTTGTTTACGTTCTTCAGTATATTAATTAGCCAAAACCTCTACTTTACGTTTTCTCTTGTAGACAGTTGACCAACTTAAATCCCCACTTCACTTTCTTAATTAAAATCTTATCTGTTATTAATCTCTTGTTAGAACTCAAATTAGCCAAAACAAATCTTCTTTTTCTACTTCCAGAGGAAGAGATCGATATTTTCATAAATCATAACCTGTAGATCTGTTTAGTCCAAGATTGAGCCGTTTTTTTTTCTGGTAGATAAATTCTCAGAGTATTTGATTCAGTTCTTGGTTGGAACTTTTTACAGAGAGGAAATGTCAAAGGCTTAGTAGCACAGAGGGAGAGACATTTAATTTTACCAAGAAAATGTTGACGGTAAGAGAAGATCACACCAGGGGGTTTCAAGCAATCTCCAGCATGTCTAGGCCAAGAAAAGTTCGGATTCATAGCTACAAGTTACCAGATCTAAACGCAGATCCCTGTCTGGATGAAGAAGAAGAAACAAGAGTACTGGTGGTTGGTTGTAAACAACAGGATGCAGATTATATACAAAACGTTCCTCAGCTTCCTTACGAGCTAGAGGTCGAGATACTCTCACGCGTCCCGCGTTTTGAGTATTGGAAACTAAACCTTTTGAGTAAACGCTTCTCGCGTTTACTCAAAAGCGGTAAGATATTTAAAGTGAGGAGAGACCGTGGTGCGGTTGAACCGTCTGTCTTTATGCTCTCCAACGGCGACACGAGGTGGACTATGTTCGATAAGGACTTTGAGAAGTTTCAGAAAGTTCCTGAACTTCCTTCCGACATGTGCTTCTTCCATGGAGATAAAGAATCGCTTTGCGCTGGAACGCATTTGATAGTCACCGGGAGAGAAGAGCAGAGCATTGCGTTGTGGAGGTACGAGGTTGAGACGAGCAAGTGGTTCAAGGGTCCTGCAATGATCACGCCACGGATCTTGTTCGCTTCCGCTACTTGTGGGACTGTCGTGTTTGTAGCTGGAGGGTTAGATGCGTCTTTAGAAGTCGTGAATAAAGCTGAGAAGTACGATTCAGAGACCAAAACGTGGACGCGTCTCCAGGGGATGCACAAGAGGAGGAAATTCTGTTCTGGATGTTACTTGCGAGGCAAGTTTTACGTGCTCGGTGGGAGGGATGAGAGAGATGAAAACCTAACTTGTGGAGAACGTTACGATGAGGGAACAGATACTTGGGAACTAATACCGGACATTCTCAAAGACATGTCGTTCTCTTCTATTCAATCTCCACCGCTCATCGCGGTAGTGAATGAAGAGCTTTACTCTCTGGAGACATCGGCAAACGAGCTTCGTGTTTATGATACAAATGCAAATGTTTGGAAGAAGCTTGGTGATGTGCCTGTGAGGGCTAAGTCTAATGGAGGTTGGGGCGTTGCGTTTAAGTCGCTTGGGGACAAGTTGCTTGTGATTGGAGCATCGGTGGGTCCGTCTAGGACCGAGACGATGTCGGTTTACACGTGTCGGCCTTCTGCTGATATTAAGGATGAGCTGGTTTGGGAGGAGTCTAAACGATGCTGTGGTGTTCAGCTCAGCCATTTTATCTTAAACTGTTGTGTGATGATTGCTTAAGGGTCTTCTCTAGAGAAATTAGGATCACTTTGGGTTTTTGTGTGTGTATGTTGAATAAGATAAGTTGTGGCGTCCGTAGACGCTAAAACTTGCTGTTTTGTGGATTGTTTTTCTTGTTCGGCGTTTTGCTTCTTGTGTGTTTCGTTAAACGCCGGTGTTTCTTCATTTTGTGATATAAGCTTCAGCATTCGTATAATTCAAGTAGGTTTAGGCATTTGTAACTGACCCTGCCTAGACAGTAAAACATAAACTATATCCGTTTCGAACAATAGAAATTTCTGAATGGATCTTTTATAGTAGTACTAGTGGTTGGCCCGCCCTACGGGCGGATGTGTTTACACTAAATTTATTTTATGTTTAAATATATTTTAATTTTATAAAATATTTGAAATTTTACTTTATAATAAGATAATAAATATTTTTTTCCCAAAGATGATATTGTAAATTATATTAGATTTTTCTGAAAGAAAGATTTTTTAGTGAACACAAAATTATTAAATAAACAAAATTAAGGAAAATGTAATATTTTTATTTCTTCTTTTGATTTTTATTTCAATTTGATATAGTTGAAGAAAATTCAAAAGTTAAAATAACTTTTTTCTAAGAGTTTCCAAATTTAATATTATTATATTAATAATTTCTCCTGATAATTAATTAATCCTTCGTCAAGCTAAATTAATTGAAATATAATGTAATGTGATAAAACTGTAAAAATGTATATTTTAAAGTACTATATAAATAGTTTCAATAATATCATAGATAATAATTAATATATTTTATTTAACAATAAATTATGTTTTATAATATATGTTTCTAGTTTATATTAGATTGCCAATTTATAATGAAAGTTATTCAATTTTTAATATTTTATTAATTGTGTTTTGTGAATTATTGTTGAAATATTTACAAACATGGACGCTCATATCTAAAGGTTACACTAAGTCTGTTTAGTACCTTGTTCAGATCATAGTGAACTCAAATTGAATTAATATATGTAAGTAATAAGTTATATCGGAGAAGATATGAAGACGAAGTGTAATCATAACCGATTATAAGTTACTTTCCAAACTTAGTTACTATATAATTTTCCTAAAGTGAGATTAATATTGTATATCAACTTTTAAAACTCGTTAATGGACGATGGAGTAGATTTCAAGAGGTGACACTACAATTTTCAGATTAAAGAACTAAAAGCATAAACGAAACATAACTATAATGATAACTTTGACCTTGAGATCCCACCAGAAGAGATTGCAAGTTGAGGTACTCCTAGGCTTTACAGTCCCACCTGCGCAAAAACGTATGAAACCATAAAATCCTAGTGATCATTAAGCAAAGTAAATGTTCATAGGCGATTGTACATTGTTTTGGGTCCCACTATTTGACATATAACTTGAAATGTTGGTGTAAAAGATGATTTTTAAAAAAAAAAATTCATACGTTTAACTAAAAATATCTTAAAATATATATAAATAAAAAAGTTTTAGCAGATTATCAAAGAAAAAATTTGTAATTTTACCGGCAAAAAAAATTCTTGACATATAACTTGAAATGTTGGTGTAAAAGATGATTTTAAACAGAAATTTTCATATGTTTAACTAAAAAAATCTTAAAATATAGCTACTATTCATTTATCTATAAATTTATCGAATTTTGAGTAGTTTCAATTTAGTTAACTAACTCTAAAGTTAAGAAAATAAAAACAATATCTGTATGGTTTGTTTTATACTCTTTCTTAAAAAATCTTATAAAAAAAAAAAAAATTTAGCAGATTCTCAAAGAAAAAATTTGTAATTCTACCGGCAAAAACAATTCGTAATTTCATCAGGAAAGAAATACTTGTTGTTGTTATAAAAATGTGAAATTAATATAACATATCAAATATGAAGGAATTACAACAAAAAAACGAAAATATCTTATTTTGTTATGGGAAAATGTAAAGAAAAGATAATTCATTAAATTTAAATATTTTACCCATTTTCTGGAACTAATATGAATGTGTCACAAAAAAACGCTCATCTTTCTCTTGCTAAAGTGGATGATTATAGAGAAAGGTGGGCCTTTAACTTATCTCTAGCCCAACATCTAACATTAAACCGGTATAATAAACCTACTACTAACCAAGACGCAAGATTTAATTTTTCGGGTCAATTTCAATGAGTAATTGTTGACGTGTCTTTTTTTGCCCCATGCTCTCTGCTGATGTGGCAGCATGAGAAGGGAAAAAAGTCAGTTTTATTGTATAAGATATCAGGTGTGGAACTATATCCGTGCCGAAAACCACATGTTAATGGTCAGATAGTAGCAAGGCGTTCAAAATCCGCCTACATTCAGATATCCCAACGTGTGGCCACCTTGAATATTCATTCGTCAGATAATAATTTACCATTTTTTAATATCAGATGTCGAATATTATCCAAGTCCCGAATTGATATTCGAAAAAATCTTTAGAGAAACATCAAAATATTAACTAGTATTCAAAATGAGTCTAAATGTAAATATATATTTTAAATATTCAATTTTATGTTTATTTTGATGCATCCTTAAAATTTACTCGAACTTGAGTATTATTAGCTGAACTTAAAATACGTTTGAATTCAAAAATGAATCTTCAATAAAGTTATAAAGCTATTGAAACTCCGAAATATTATTAGCTGAACCCGACTACATATAAAACGTGAGCTGTCAAAAAAAAATAAGCATCATTATCCACACAAATCCATTAGTGTTTTTAATGATTATTTAACTATACAAATGTACTTAAATGTACTTAGAGCATCCAAAACAAAGAATCTTTAGGGGAATCCCTAGAAAAATATTAATTTTATAATCAGTGGGTTTCATGAACAGTTAAGGATTTTATCCTTAAAAATCTTATTTAAAGATTGATCCTTACACTATTCGCGGACTACACTGCCCACGTGTCGGCCCGTGAATGGTCAATATTTTTTAAAAGAAAAAATCTGAAATATCCTTATATAATCCGAAATACCCATTTTTCTTTTTCCCTAAGAATTCTCGGTAATGACCCCTTGTTGTGGATGCTCTTAAAAACTCTAGTTACGAAACTATCCAATTTTGTGTTCCAATAATAGTTTCTTAAGTAAAGTTTCTTAAAAAAAAACAAAAAATCTATGGGTTAAACACATGTGCAAAAGCCAAGCTTTAAGCTTCCAAATTCATCAACAAGGAAGAAAGCACTTGTAGCAACAACATAGAGAGATTACTATCAACACCAGAAATCAAAGTCACACCTTTTGCTAACAATTCAATCACACAAAACAAAGGAAAACATGGCCAAAATCATAGAATCCCAAAGACTAAGGGTTTGATTGGTAGAACATAAGCATAAGCATTATGTTCTTTATTATCCAATCAACATTTGACCAAGAAGTATTTAGAAAAACATTTATCAAATGCTAATGCTCTCCAAATGTTAATGCTCTCACATAAAGCTTTTGGAAGAGCATTTGTAGTTAAATTATATAAAACTTAAAAAATAATTATATATCATTTATTTATTTTTGTTTAATAATATAAAAATATTTTTATAATCAAAAAATATATTTGAATTTTAAAAATAAAAATTATAATTAAATGTTTTAATTTTTCTATAAGAATAATATTTCACATTTAAAATATAATATAATTTATACAATTACACATATCCTTCATTATTTTAATAACAAATATAATATATATTTATGTATTATATATATAAAAAATCATATATATATTATTTAGACACTAATAAATAAATTATATAACAAATATTAATTAAATGATATTTTATATATTAATCATTTACTGCTTAACCAATAAATAAATAATGATAATTTATATATAAATTCTAAGTAATTAATTAATTAATTTAATAATATTAAAATATTTTTATATCCAAAAAAAATTAAAATAAATTTTACATAATAATATTTCACATATAAACTATAATATAATTTATATAATGAATAAGATTCATTATTTTAATAAAAATATATTATTAATATATATTATAAATATGTAAATATTACTTTTAGGGTTTATCTGTGAAATAGCTAAGAAAAAAGAAAAATTAGTTTTTGAGAGAGAGAATAAAGAGAGATAGGAAGAAAGAAGAAGAGTGAGAATGTGAATTTGTTTACTTAGTGAATTATGAGTTTTTGTGTGGTTATACAACCTAATTTCCTTTTCTTTAAAATACATATACTATTATACTAACTATTATGATATTTTTAAAATTGTATACTACTAATACTGTACTAGTCACCTTTTTAAAAACTTTAATAAAATCATACAGCTTCGGTAGCATAATGCTTATATAGTATACTGCTATTGCTTTATCATCTGTCAATCGAGGCCTAAAAAAACACAAACTCTCATACTAAAGTAAAGAGGAATACCATGTGAGGGTACTTGTCCTGATCAACAACACGAGTGTTCTGGAGCTTGATATTGAGGTACTGATCAACAGAATGAAGTGTCCTCTAATAGCTAAATCGTTCTTCAGCTTAACCGTCGCTTCTTTTTTTTTTTTATCAAACTAAACCGTCACTTCTTGTCCCACCAAATCCTTGAAGTATGAAAAGAACAACTGCAACACCGAAAGAGACAAATCAAAAACCCAAACAACAAACACAAGTTCACACTTCCGTGACAACAAAATAAGACCTCAAGACTGACACAAGAAAACAACAAGATGCTTCTTTGTGAAACCAAAGACGAGGACTTCCGTGACACTACAAAGACCACAAGACTTCCACGAGATGCTCCCACTGCTCCATTATGTGATGCATCTCTCAAGGCTCCCACTACAAGGCATATATTCGAGTGATTATGTGAAAAGGGTTAACAAACGTTTGTGTAAAATACTAAGCTTGTACGATGGGTTATATTTTGCATCTTCAGGTGCTTTTCTCGTTTACGATATTAATGAGGCAGGCCTCATATGTTCTTATGGCCCATTCATATGATTGATAAAAACTTCCCGCCGTTTCTTACGTAAGCTACTACACTGCAGGTCGTTTTAAGCTCGAAGGAAGTGAGAGTAAAAGGCGTGTGAGCGCGGGGGGGTTTAAGTCATTTCGGAGACGAAAGAAGGAAGAAAACCCAAAGAGAGGATACCAATGGCGGGAAAGCGTACGTCGCCGTTTTCGTCTCCGTTGCTAAAACCACCACCGCTTTCCACTGTTCAAGCCGATGAAGAGACTACAGATTCCTGGAGGAAAGAAGTAGACGAGAACCTGAAACGCCTCCACTCGCTTCTTTTCGGCGCCGAACAGTTCCTCGAGAAATCCGATTTCTCCTCCGCTCAGATCCTCGGGCTTCGTCTTCTAGGTTTCCTCGATTCTCGCTCCGTTACAGAAGCCGATCGTGCTTTCATCGCTCCTATTCGCCGTGAAGTTGCCTCTAAGGTCGATTCAGCCTTGGAAGGCCTCGTCTCGGATTCGGATCGGTATACCCTAAGATTTTCCCCCTTAAGCATGTTTAATTCGAATTATATTAGTTTTAATCGAATTATATTAGTTTAATTCGAATTATATTAGTTTAAAACGAATTATATTAGTTTAATTCGAATTATATTATATTGAAAGGCTCTTTGGTATCTTTATATGTAATCTAAGAGAGTAACATTGAAGGTGAAAATGTATAACTGATTGTTAATCTTCTGCTAGCTCCAGGTGTTGTCAATATTGTCTACTACATTTGATTTTTTTTTTTTTTTTTTTTGGAGTAAGGTTTTAAGGTTTGTTTCTTGGTTTATCCAGGCGAGCGTTTGAACTTGCAAAGACCACTCCAGGGCCTATTTTTGGCAGTAGAGGAGAGTTTGATGTGGAGAAGATTAAGCAGTCGAAACACTTTCATTTTAGTCTCAGTCAGTCTAATGGAAAGGGTGTTAAAGAGATGGTAATGCTCTTGTTATCAGTGATGCAGCTATGTTTTCCTTTTTACAATATGCTTTGTATATGCAATGCTACGACCTTTTTAAGTGAGGATTACTTACGAATTACTGTTTATGTGTGGAACTGAGTTTTTTTTTTTTTGGATTGGAGATGGATAATGAACGTATGTGTACTTGTTTCAGGAAGAGAGACTGGATGCGCGTAAGTTTATTCCCAAAGCATCAAAGCCAATGATGCAAGCTAGACTGACGTCGTTGTATGGAAACAGCGTGGTTAAGCCAGATAATCAGCGGAGAGCTTCCGTGAGCAATCAGGACAGTGTCCCTGATGAATGTGTCATTGTCGAGAGAAGTCATGGAGGTGGTTTTGGAACAAAGAGAGCTCATGCAGAAATTAGTAACCTCACAAATCATGGGGAAGTGAAGGAAGATGGTGCTGCTGCTAATGGATTTGTATCCGCCAAAATAAAACTGGTAAAAGGATCTTTGATTATTCTTCTCTTACAAGATTCCCTTTAAATTTTTTAGTTCTTTGATCAAATGTTTCAAAGCTTTTAACCGTGCTTTGTTACCTTTTGCATATTTTTGACTAAATATTTCTCAGTTTTTATGTGTGGATGTTCTTTACTGATTTTGTAAGCCTCCATCTCAACTTTGCAAAGCATAATCTTTTGAACTGTGCTTCGTTACCATTTGCATATGTTGATTACTGTCTCTCTTGCTTTAGGAAATGGACGTTAGACAGAAACGAGGATCAGCCGGGGCACCAAACTCATCTCTATCTCCCCAGGGTGATAACAATGCGTTAGGTAGGGGATACGGTGCAAGATCAGGTGGCTATTTAAGACGTGGATACCGTGGTAATTTTGTTCCTCCAGTTAAATCTAGCGGGAATAATGTTGGAAATACGACTTCTCGTATTGGTGGAAAGACTGATGATACACTCGATGAATCAACCAGAACATGGTAAGTGACTGTTAATTACTATATCAGAAAACATTGTCTTTGTTCTTTATTTCACATTGATAGTGATTCAACAATATTACATGCCTAACAATAGGACTAGAAGATAAATCACATATGTTAAAACTATTCTTGGTCTCTTGTTCATGGTGAAATTCAACTGAGGTATAGTGTTTAGTTGCATATACACACTTATCGTTTCAAGTTTTGTGTATAAGCAATTTCTTTCACCATTTTTGTAATATGCTTGTAAGACTGAAAAGATCATTCCCTGTTCTAGTTTGGAGATGCTCTGTGGTCCTGATGGTGAGCTTCCGGAGAAGTTGAGAAACTTAGAACCTCGTCTTATAGAGCATGTCAGCAACGAGATTATGGACCGAGACCCCAATGTCCGCTGGGATGATATTGGTACAAGATGATGATTAAAACATGTTTCGCTACAGTGCATATTATTATCTCAATTGCATCTGGAGTGTCTCATCATGAGTTATTGCTGTGCAGCTGGTCTGGAGCATGCTAAAAAGTGTGTTACGGAGATGGTCATTTGGCCATTGCTACGTCCTGACATTTTTAAAGGTTGTCGTTCGCCTGGGAAAGGACTTCTTCTCTTTGGTCCACCAGTAGGTACCCTTATCCTTTTCGACAGTGAATATGCTATGTTATTGTCTATGTTTCTTACCTCTGTATCAACTTCATTCCAGGGAACTGGTAAAACTATGATCGGAAAAGCTATAGCTGGAGAAGCAAAAGCAACTTTCTTCTATATTTCAGCCAGTTCACTGACAAGCAAATGGGTTAGTTCCACATCTTTGCTTGCGTTCATAAGGACATTCGTAAAATGTAGGTCTGTTATTTTTTTCCACTGCAGATTTAACATTCAAACGAGTGTACATGCAGATTGGCGAAGGCGAAAAGCTAGTGAGGGCCCTTTTTGGAGTTGCAAGTTGCCGCCAGCCTGCAGTGATATTTGTAGATGAAATAGATTCCCTATTATCTCAGGTTCGTTGGGATCTCTTAAAATTTAAACGTTAATGAGCTCCCATTTTTATCAATGTATTAGAATGGCCTGGAAAAAAGGTGGCTTTATACTATTTGTGGCATGTTTTTCGTTTTTTTGGATTACCAAATGTA